CCGACCGACCGATCGACGGACCGACGGACCGACGGACCGACCGACGCCGACGACGACGACGACGACGACGAGTCAATTTGAAGACATTTGTGACCTTTCGCTCTGAGAGCAAATTGCAGGCCTCGTGGAACCTCCGTGGGGCCATCGTGGAACCTCCGTGGGGCCGCCTCGGGGCTCACTTGGGGCCTTCTGGGGGCGCTCTGGGGGGGCTCTCCCCGGGCCCTCCCAGAGGCCTTGGAGGCCAGGATGGATGTGATAGCCGCCGTCGATCAAAAAGGGGGGTGGGGCCGCCGTCGACCGGACGGCAGGAGGCCTTCGGCCAGGTGCCCGAGCAGGCAGCCGACGACGAGCGCTGGGCCGCGCACTCTGGGAGGGGGGGGTCCTCGCCCGGGGCCGCGGTGCGCGCGGCACCGACGGCAGCGGCTTGCGTTGCGCCTGCCAGGGGGCCGTCTGCTCCTCCTCCTCCTCCTCCTCCTCCTCCTCCTCCTCCTCCTCCTCCTCCTCCTCCTCCTCTCCTCTCCTCCTCCTCCTCCCCCTCCTCCTCCTCCTCCTCCTCCTCCGCCTCCTCCTCCTCCTCCTCCTCCTCCTCCTCCTCCTCCTCCTCCTCCTCCTCCTCCTGTCCTGCTCCTCCTCCTCCTCCTCCTCCTGTTTCCTCGTTCCTCCTCGCTCATTGTTCTCCTCCTCCTCCTCCTCCTCCTCCTCCTCCTCCTCCCTGTCCGCCTCCTTTTCCGGTTCCTTGTTCTCCTCCTTTCCTCCTCCTCCACCTCCTCCTCCTCCTCCGCCTCCATTTCCTGCTGCGACCCCACCGGGAACATGCACGACCCACTCTGGAGGATAGTATAACGACCGCGCGCTGGAGACCCGCCCATACATCACACGGATCTGGGTCAACGTGCACGCGCACCCGAGGGACATCAGGTCAATGTCGGCGGCGCTGAACATCTCATCCGTTCACTCATCCCCGCAACCGTACCACTGTAGCAATCATAAGCGCGAACGTGCGAGCATGGCAACCGCGCGCCTGACAAGGATGTGGCCCAGCCCAGAATATCTGTTCCGTCGAGTTGAACAGTTTCCTGGGGGCTGGGTCCACCCCTCTTCCTCACACCCCGTCCTCCTGATTCCTCCTAACTCCATCTCCTCACTCATCTTGCGAGTGGGAACGTCGAGGGGGGGGGCAGCTAAGGGGGAAAGCATCGACTTGATATCGGCGAAACATCGCCGACAGATCGAACTCAGGCCCCCGATGGCAAATTCGCGCGGTCCTGGCCGGAGGGGGCTATCGGGCCCCCTGACTGCGATCAGTGGGCGAGCGGGGGTCGATGCATCCCCCCCTGAGCCTATCCCCTCCCAACGTTGCCCCTGTTCCTGATTCCCCACTTCCCCCTCCCCCTCCCCCTCCCGGTCCCCCTCCCCCTCCTCCTCCTCCCCCTCCCCCTCCTCTTCCTCCCCCTCCCCCTCCTCTTCCTCCTCCTCCGCCTCCTCCTCCTCCTGCTCTTCCTCCTCCACCTCCTCCTCCTCCTCCTCCTCCACTTCCCTCCACACACCTAAACCAGCCAGTGTCAGCAAGCACGTTGTTGCCAACGGGGGCTCGTGCGAGAAAGCAGGCAGTGGCATCAGCTACAGAGGTGCGATGAGCTCGTGCGAGAAGGGCACAAGCGTGCTGACTACCTACCAGACCACCCCAACCCAACCCGAAGACCCGAATTTCGGGTTGGGGGGGGGTAAGGGTTCCACATGTGTTTTTCCGATGTTTCCCGAACCCCCCCACCACTGGAAATCGAGAGTAAATCTGAGCCTTCGGGTTGGGTTGGGGTGGTCTGGTGGGTGGTGACGTGCGCAGCAGGCTTGCGAGACAGCGCATCCGCGCACGATCCGCTCCCGTGTGGGGAGGTGGCCCCCCTCGGAGGGAAAAACGAAGACCGAGGCCCGCCAGCCGCGCGCAGGCTCTCGCGCGAGCGCCTCCACCGAGCGGTCCGGCCGCGGCTGCATCGGGTTGCCCAGCTCCTCGGGGGAAGGCAGCAGGCCATCGCTTGCGAGCGAGCCCTTGTGCGGCCGAGCGGCTGAGAAGAGAGGAGACTGGACAGGAACGATTGAGCGAGTCAAGATGTCTTGTCTGCGACGCTGGCTGCGGCCTGGCGGCCTCGTCGGCGGCGTTGGCGACGAGCTTGGAAGATCTGTTTCATCGTCCGCTTCCTGGGGCGCTGCGACCCCCCCTTGCCATCAGCGAATCATTTGGTCGCGGTGCCCTGGCAGGCCAGATTTTGTGGGGGCTCAGGCAGACGACACCGGGTCTCCAGCCAGGTGAATACTAACAGGGGCGTCCGACGCCGACGCGTCAAAATCTAAATGCCCCACGTCCCCCGTGGGACAATGTATTCCCACCCCCATCACGCGATCCACCCTCCCACGCGCATTATGAGATCCGGAGTACTTGTTGCAAAAGAAATGCACCACAGCCAGGCCGCAGCATGCCGACATCAGACTCCTGCTCTTCGTTGATTGTTGATATGGCGGCGCGCTGCAAGGAGAGGGGGAGGGGGGGCCTTTCGAGAAGGAGGGGGCTGAGAAGCGAGGGGAACTTTCTCAGAAGACCTCCCCCTGACCCCGCCCTCCGATGAGGTGACATTTGGCGGAGAGCCCAGGGGGGAAGTGAGAAGGGGCGGGTCTTCTGAAAAGTGTTCTAAGCCTTCCCCGCAGGCACGCAAAACTTCTCAGAAGACGCGAGAACTTCTGAGAAGTTTCGCCGCCTTCTGAGAAGGCCTGTTCCTTCTCACTTCCCCTCCTCGCTCGCCACCAAGACATGCTTACCATCCACGGCTTCCGAGCTCCCGACCCTTGCCTGGAGACAGCCTGCTGTCCCGGCCTTTTTTTTCCGGAGCGGAGAAAGACCTCCGCCCAAGGGCTTCACGACGTGAGACTCCAAATGCCACAGGAGCCACGAATGCCATAGTGGTAATAGTTCGGTGTTGGTTGTAATAGTCCGACCACTCAGAGAGCCCGAATACTACCACAATCACCGAGATCAGGAGCATCTTCTCTCGGTGAAAGCATACCTAGGGAAATTCACAATGACACAAACATAGAAACTCGGTGGTGCGCGCGGCCTTCTCGGATCGGCGCTGGGGCCCCCTGGCGGCGCCTCCGGCGCCACCCCTGGCGCGCTCCGCGCGCCAAGGAGGGGGGTCCAGCGCCGATCCGACAAATCCGCGCGGACCTCCAAGTCTCTACTGGGCATCGCTCGGACGTCCATTCCTTCGTGCGTGCTTTTTTCGCCAAATGATCAAGGATGCTCCTCGATGGTCCTCGCCGAAGGAAAAATGCACACGTCCGAACGATGCCAAGTCTCTATGTTTATGCCATTTCTCGTTCCCCTACCACCGCCGATCTTGGTGTTGGCGTCACCCTCGAGGCCTCCGCGTCGCGGGTCGCTTGCGGCCCCTGGCCACCCCTGGAGCGCCCGAAGCTGCCAGCGGCACCGCCCGTCGCGCTCGGCATGGCCAGACACCTGGACTAGAATCAGGTCGGGCATGTCCCCCTGCAGGCGGATCTTCGAAACAAAAAATAATCGAAAACACCAAAAAATCGAAACATCTTCCCCCGACGTTTTTTTATACTAATTTTGAGAACGCTCCTCTTGTGTAGGGACAGTCCCAACTTCAGACTAGAATAAGTAAAAAACTGCCTCAGCACAAACTTTCGACAGTCCGCGCGGACTCCCCTCCCTGGCGCTCGGAGCGCGCCAGGGGCGGCGCAGGAGGCGCCGCCAGGGGGCTCCAGCGCAGATCCGAGAAACCCACGCGGAGCGTCGACAGTGTATGTTTCTGCCGCCTTTTCTTCGTTGACGAACGTCTCCTTCCAGATCGGCCCCCCTGACCTGCCATCGACAAGCGCGTTTCACTACTCGCAAAGTAACTACTCGCAAATGGCCTGGATCCGCCGCGGGGGGTTCACGATACATCACAGGCCTCCTAGATGGGATCGGACTAGATGGGGTCGGGGGATCGCGCCGCATCGCCGATACATCGCCGATGAACCGGCGATACCTCGGCGATGCATCGTCGACGTCGACGGTACATCGGAGACGTCGACGTGACACAAATCGGGCTCCGCATCGAGCCGCATCGCCGACGCATCGGCGATGCGGCACCATCCTCCGACCCCGTCTGCTCCGACCCTGTCTAGGAGGCCCAGATACATGGAGTCGAAGCCAACATGTTCTTGTCCGACGTGTCTGCGAGGAGGCACCTTGCGAGCAGTGGAACGCGCTCAGGGATTTGGAGCCCCGAAACGGTGCGGTGACAAACCGTGCGGTGACCTCGAACCACCCCGAGACCTCACCGCACGGTCCGTCACCGCACGGCCTTGGGACCCCAGAGGCCCCTGTCGCCCGAGACATCCTCGGAGAACGACCCGAGTCCCAAAACCGTGCGGCGACCCCGAATCCCCACCGACTCACCGCACGGTGTGGTCACCGCCCCGTCTGGGGGCCCCCGAAGGGATTCCAGATCGGCCCCCCTGCCCCGCCTCGGGAGCGGCAAAGAGGGGGGTGTCCAAGAGGGGGGGGTGCAAATCATGACCGGCGGCATGTGCGCGGCCAAGCGGGGGGGCCTGGGACGTAATGAAATAAGAAGAGGCGCCATGAAATCTGGGAAATATCATGGCCCACGCCATGATATCCACCCCCCCCTAGTCATCACCCCCCTCTTTTCCGCCCCCGACCGCCCTGCAGCGCGCCCCCGGGCCGGGACTCCGAGGAGGGACCCGGCCGTGGCGACGAGGGGCGACCCCCGAGGGCCCGGGCGCCCCGGATCTGCCCCGAGGGCCCACGCCCCGAGGCCTGCCAGCGGCTCCCCGCGGAGGCCTCCGGACGGAGCTCTCTTGAGCTCTTCTGCCGGATGCCCCCAGACGAGGAGGGCGGAGAGGCGGAGGAGGAGGAGGAGGAGGAGGAGGAGGAGGAGGAGGAGGAGGAGGAGGAGGAGGAGGAGGAGGAGGACGAGGAGGACGAGGAGGACGAGGAGGAGGAGCACGAGGAGGAGGAGGAGGAGGAGGAGGACGACGACGACGAGGCGGCGGAGGAGATCGATGACGAAGAGGACGAGGAGGACGAGGAGGAGGAGGACGACGAAGAGGACGAAGAGGAGGAAGAGGAGGAGGAGGAGGAGGAGGAGAAGGAGGAGGAGAAGGGGGAGGTGGAGGCGGAGGAGGAGGAGGAGGAGGAGGAGGAGGAGGAGGACCAGGAGGAAGAGGAGGGGCAGGCGGAGGAGGCAGAGGAGGGGGAGGGGAGGACGACGACAACGACGACGAAGACGACGACGATGACGCCGACGCCGACGCCGACGCCGCCGCCGCTGCCGCCGCCGCCACCGCCGTCGACGACGACGACGACGCGGACGCCGACGCCGACGCCAACGACCACGGGGTAGATGTTTTCCTTCTGCTCGGCTCCCGGGCGGGCCGTGCGGGGGCGACGCCGAACGACATGGGCGCGGGCGCGCGGGCCGCTCGGGTGGCGGACCGCTTCCCGCCACCCGAGCGCCGGCCGCGGGGGTGGGCTGGGGCGCCAGAGGGCTGAGGGCGGGCTGCTCTTGCGGAGGTGGCGGCGGGCTTCTGCTCTCTCCCACCTCCACCTCGGCCCCTTCTCCACCTCGCCGCTCCTCCTCCTCCACCTCCTCCACTTCCTCCTCATCCTCCTCCTCCTCCTCCTCCTCCTCCTCCTCCTCCTACTCCTCCACCTACTCCTCCTTCCTCCTCCACCTTGCCCCTCCTCCTCTCCTCCTCCTCCTCCTCCTCCTCCTCCTCTCCTCATCATCATCATCATCATCATCATCATCATCATCATCATCATCATCATCATCATCATCATCATCATCATCATCATCATCATCATCATCATCATCATCATCATCATCATCATCATCATCATCATCATCATCATCATCCGCCTCCTCCTCCTCCTCGTATTTGTGCTCGTTGTCCTCCTCCTCCTCCTCCTCCTCCTCCTCCTCCTCCTCCTCCTCATCATCATCATCATCATCATCATCATCATCATCATCATCATCATCATCATCATCATCATCATCATCCTGGAGTGCAAAGTGCTGCCGCGCGGGCGCGGGGGCGAGGGGGAGGAGGACGGAGGAGGAGGAGGAGGAGCAGAAGGAGCAGGAGTAGGAGTAGGAGGAGGAGGAGGAGGAAGAAGAAGACTGGGGATGAGAGTGACGATGAGGAGGAGGAGGAGGAGGAGGGAGGAGGAGGAGGAGGAGGAGAAGACTGGGGATGAGCGTGACGATGAGGAGGAGGAGGAGGAGGAGGAGGAGGAGGAGGAGGAAGAGGCGGAGGAGGAGGAGAAAAAGGAGGAGGAGGAAGAGGAGAGGGAGGAAAAGAACGGGGAGGGGGCTCGTGCTCAACCCGAGAAGAAGTATCTAAAGCCACACAGAGGTCCCGAGGCCGACGAGGTTGTGGGATAGGGTGCCAAAACGCAGCCGGAACGATGCAAGGCCCGAGCCACACCGCTCCACAATGAGCCGTTAGCCGATCCTGCAGGGTGGGCCCTTCCTCGTTCTCGGTGCCTCGTGTACCGATACGCCTGAGTCGCTTGTGGCCCTTGTGCGGTTCTTGCCGTGCCTTGTTGTCGTCCTCGTCATCGTCGTCCGCGTCGTCGTCCTCATCATCATCTCCCTCGTCGTTCTCATCCTCGCTGTCGTCGCGGCCGCCGCCTCCGCCGCAATCGTTAGCGCTCCTGCAATCCAACCCCAGGGGTAAGAGAACGTACTGCGCACGGAATGTGACCCTCGACTCAGGATGACGCCATCAATAAACACGCACCGATCCTCCTCCTCCTCCTCCTCCTCCTCCTCCTCCTCCTCCTGCTCCTCCTGCTCCTTCTCCTCCTCCTCCTCCTCCTCCTCCTCCTCCTCCTCTACCTCCTCCTCCTCCTCCTCCTCCTCCTCCTCCTCCTCCTCCTCCTCCTCCTCCTCCTCCTCTTCCTCATCCTTTTTCTCGGGACCTTCGGGGAGCACGTCGTCGCCGCTCCTAAATCTGCGTCGTGTTCCTTCTCGGCTTGCGTTCCAGCAGGAACCTGGAAGTCGAATTTGAAGGAAGAGGAGGAGGAGGAGGAGGAGGAGGAGGAGGAGGAGGAGGAGGAGGAGGAGCGAGCGACGAAAAGAAGCGGGTCCTTCGCGCGATGACATAACGACCTTACCCGGTGGTTTACGCGGGCCGTCAGCGCGGCACGCCGACTTGGAGACGAGCGCGGGCAGCGTACGCGCGAATGCCGGCGCGGTCGAATCCGACGCCTTCCTGACTACCTACCAGACCACCCCAACCCAACCCGAAGACTCGAATTTCGGGTTGGGGGGGGGGGGGTAAGGGTTCCACATGTGTGTTTTCGATGTTTCCCGAACCCCCCCCGCTGGAAATCGAGGGTAAATCTGAGCCTTCGGGTTGGGTTGGGGTGGTCTGGTGGGTGGTGACTTCCGCCGCTCAAACAAGCACCTGCACCGACCCTGGCCAGGCCGGCCCCAGCCCTGGGATGCACACGCGCACGCCGATCCGCGGACCCAGGATCCGCCTGGTCCGGATTGGCATCCGGTGTGCAGGTGGCGTCCCCCGCTCGGCTGGCGAACTCCGCAGGGAGTGGCCGGCAACTGTGTGCATCCTGTTGCCCAGGGTCTTCATCCGCTGACATCTCGCGAACGATCGAGACCCTCTCGGCACGCCAAGATAGACCGAAAAAGCAGGCTGAACACAGTCGGGGCACATCAAACGGTGCAAGGCGAGGATACCATGCCCTTGGGCCTACAGGTTGCAACGATATGCGTTCTGCCGAAAGGGCAAGGATGCAAGGTCATCGTTGGGAAATCACTTCGTCCTCGTTTACTCATGGGCTTCGACTGTATAGCATCCTCGACCCCACACAGATCACAAGGAAAGCGCCATTCGAAAGACACTGGCTAAGCAGACCCCGGCGACTCACAGCCAACAACAAGTCCTGCGCAGATCATCTCGGCGCCTGGCCCCGTGGCTCCACTTACAACCTACCTCGAGCGCCGCCGCTACGTGCATTGATCGGGCACTTGCCTGACCTCTGTAATCTGAATTGACGCTGGCACGCGCGAGTCACCTAAAAAAACGCCGCTGCCACTCTACATCAAGTATCTGGGCGCGACACGGCGAGTGCGCCATCTGCCGTGCCGTCGGTGCCTGGGATCGACCCCGCGGTGCGCCAGGCAGTGGGGAAGAAGTTGTTGTCTTCCTCTGGGAAGACAGAAGACACATACAGCAAGAAGCCACGGCAACGGTGCAAGGTTCGGCCGCACCCAGGACAAGAGAAGATCCCCCAAGAGCATGAAACCCTCCGCAGGCCAATCCAGGGAACACTCGAGGACGCACCCTCCCCCAGGATGCACACAGAACATCCAACCGACACGAAGATCATGAGGGCACCCTCCCCGAATCGGGAGCGGCCAAGAGGGGGGTATCCAAGAGGGGGGGGTGCAAATCATGACCGGCGGCATGTGCGCGGCCCAGCGGGGGGGCCAGGGACGTATTGAAATAAGAAGAGGTGCCATGAAATCTGGGGAAATATCATGGCCCCCGCCATGAAATCCCCCCCCCCTAGTCATCACCCCCCTCTTTTCCGCCCCCGACCGAACCGACCGCAATCTTATCACCCGGGCCCGACCGTCATGAAGCGAGGCCCTCGGCCGCCCATGCTGGAGCAGTCTCGGCAGCGCGATCCCAAACAAGAGTCGGCCCAGGGCGCGGCGAAGCGGCAGGGATGCCAGGGCGAGCTTGACAGCGTGCTGCACCCCTCCCACGAGGCTTCACCGTGCCCGCGCTCGAAGGCCCTCTCCCAGCCTCCCCCTCGCCAGGGAGGAAGAGGGGTGCAGTCATCGTGCTACCAGAAGGAGCGCACAGTGAGGAGCGAAGGGGCTGTTCTGGCCACGGCGGGCCTAGGACAAACAGGTTCCAGGACACGAGCCTGAGGCACGACCCGAAAGCCCGCGCCCCTCTTGAGTCCAAAGCGGTCCTTGGTTCAGCGTCTTGGCTGTACGGGAGTCGATCATCGATTGCGCTGGAGACAAATCCCCATTAGTTACCCGGATATACTGCGAAAGCGGATTATCGACGCACTGGTGTCAATATAGAAACATCTCTCATAAGTGGATCACCGTTTGGGGGGCATGCGAAGCTCATTCATCTCACCTCGGGTGAGGCACAGTCGGTCCCCAAAGGCCCCAGAGGCCTTCAAGGCGTCCAGGGGGGCCATGACGGCTCCCAAGGCGGGCCAGATACTGGCACAGGACATCGAAGACGGCCCAGAACCGCCCCGCGATCGCCTCACCCGCGGCGAGAGACCGCCGCTGGATACCAGAAGACGGCCCCAGGACGGCCCATCACGCCCGAAACACTTCCCAGTATTAACCCACGAGCACCCACGAAGCCCCACCACGGCTGTCACCGAGCCACAGCGAAGCGAAGGCCTCGGAGAGGCAAAGCGCACGCTTCGAACCAAAGAGGCAGTTCAAGCAGAGCTTTCGCGGGGGATGGTGGGGTAGGGTCCTGGCCCTTCTGAGGCACAAAAACTGGCCGAAAAGCGTTCCTCCAAAACGCCCCCCCTGGCAGTCTCAAGCTGGCGAAATTCGGCCGACATGTCCGCCCGCGCCCACTTGCTTTGCCACCGCGGAGGGCACAGGATGACTTCTGGCTGACCTCCAGACAGACTCCAGGCCGCCTTGGGCAACGCTGTTTGGCAGGCCTGGGGGGGGTCCTCGCAGACCCCCAAAGCTGCTCAAGGGCCCCCCGAAGTGCCCCCCCCCAGACTGGCCAGAGGCTAGTCAAATCCAAAACGATCCAAAAACTCCCCCGAAACAGCCACAAGACCCTCCAGCGGTGCCATGGTGCCCCCAGCGGTCCCCAGGATGCCCAGGGGCTTACCCAGAGGCAAGAGGTGCCCAGGACGCATCGCGACAACCACACAGCACCACGTCAGGGGAATACGCCGCAGCCTCTCCTCGCAGCCTCTCCTAAGCGCCGTGGCGGATGCCCGCAACAGCGCACCCACGGATAATGAATACCCGTGCTCACACCGCTCATCCGCCATCCTCCCCCGTCTCCTCCCGAGGACGGCCGAGGGGGAGGCCTGGGAGGCAGGGGACGTGCACGAGGCATGAGCTGACTACCTACCAGACCACCCCAACCCAACCCGAAGACCCGAATTTCGGGTTGGGGGGGGGGGGGTAAGGGTTCCACATGTGTCTTGTCGACGTTTCCCGAACCCCCCCCCCACTGGAAATCGGGGGCAAATCTGAGCCTTCGGGTTGGGCTGGGGTGGTCTGGTGGGTGGTGATGAGCCAGGAGCAAACAGCGGCACGGACATACTTCCTCCGAGGCCCGCGCGGATCGCTTGCCTCGGCGACGGACCCCCCCCGGCCTGGAGCGGCGCGGGAGGCGCCCGCTACGGGCGGCCCAGCGCCGATCCGGGAGACCCGCGCGGACCTCCGAGGAACTGTACACCCTGCGAAATGCTTAAGAAATCATGGGTTAAGAAATTCATAGTCTCAGAACTTGGATCAAAAAACAACATTTCTATTAAAATCTTAGGATTCACATTGAAACATTAAGAATAATCGAGACTCTGGCCGAAAACTTAGGTTTTCTTAAGCATCGCCTAAGGTGTATGGATGGAGACTTCTTCCGCCCTTCGCTGAGCATCGTGGGATTGTGTTCCACCGCCACCACCAGGAAGTAGGAGGGGGAGGGGGTCCTCCTCCTCCCCCTCCTCCTCCTCCTCCTCCTCCTCCTCCTCCTCCTCCTCCTCCTCCTCCTCCTCCTCCTCCGCATCCTCCACCTTGCCCCCTCCAACTTGTGGTGGTGGTGGTGGTGGAAAACAGGCCCAGCAGAGCATGCACGTGCCTGCCCACCCGTCCTCGTCTACGTCGTGCTCGGTGAGGTCGAACCTCTGCGGCTGGCTGCTCACCGGCGCCCGCCGCGGCCCAGGGATCCAAAACGTCCCCTCGGCACGCCCCCCGTGCGCCGCCACGCCGGGAATGGACGCGGTGCTGGACGTGGAGCGCTGGTCGGGTGTTGCTGAAAGTGCCCCTGGCCCAGGGTGCCCCAAGCTTTTCGCCCCACTCTGGCCCTGAGATCCTGGCGTCTCAACTTTTTCGAGCTGGCCGTTTTCGGCCCTGAGATCCTGGCGTCTCAACTTTTTCGAGCAGGCCGTTTTCGATGTCTTCGGGCCCCGGCACCCTCACAGATCGATCCGGCTCGAAAAATGGGTCCAGGGCTAGGTCGGGCGTGTCCCCCTACAGGCGGAATTTGGGCGAAAAATCAAAAAGTGGTCCCCCGACTATGTTTTGACGAATTTCGAACATTCCCCCTGTAGAGGCACGTGCCCGACTTCAGTCCAGGGCTCCGGGCGTGACTTTTTGCGATGCTTGGCAGCGCGCACAAGGGGGTGGAGGGAGGGGGGAGGGCTTCTTAGAAGGAGCTGCGCGCACAAGGGGGTGGAGGGAGGGGGGAGGGCTTCTTAGAAGGAGGCTGCTTCTTAGAAGGCGCCAGCCTCACATCTATAGGGAAGGCCCGCGCCTTCTGAGAAGCAAGAGCCCTTCTAAGAAGCCCTGCCCCCTCCCCCGGAAGCAAGGGTCCTTCTAAGAAGCAAGGGTCCTTCCAAGAAGCCCTGCCCTTCTACGAAGCAAGGGCCCTTCTAAGAAGCAAGGGCCCCTCTGCGCGTGGCTGCGATGCTGCACTTTGCTTGCCGCGTCGGATCTCGGGGGGGAGCCCCTGGCGCCCTCCGGGCCTCGCGAAGGGGTGCTCCGGAGGCCGCGGGCGGCCCCCGTGGAAATCCGGGGGGGGCACCCTGGGCCGGGGCTGCGGACGCCACGACAAGGGACACCCTGACAGTCCTATCCTTGAAATTTACACGTGCTTCAAGTGTAGGAAACATGCTCAAAATATGTGTTGACCATGCTTTTAACATGTTTAAAACATGTTTGAGACATGCTTTAGGCAGCTGGAACTGATTTGGCAGCATGCTTCCTCTCCATGGATCGCCCTCCACAAGCAGGGCCAGGGGCACGTCTGGCAGCACCCGAGCTGGGAGTGCGAGAGCACGTCGTCGGCGTGCTGCGCCCGCGGCGCACTTCGCGCCGCCGCCGCCAGGGCGGCCCGCTGCGCCGCGAGGAGGGCCGGCGGCTCTGGGGGAGCCGGCCTGGCCGGGAGGGGCCCCGGGGACCAGGGCGCCGGGGCTGCCGAGGCCGGGTCGGGCGAGGCGGGCGCCGGGCCGGAGGAGCCGAAGAGGTAGGCGAAGAAGCCGAAGAGGCCCCAGGATCCATCGGCGTTCCGTTCGGCGATGTCCAGGGCCGGCAGGCAGTTCGCAGCCAGCCAGCGCTTCTCCTGCGCGGCAGCATCTCACTGCGCTGCAGCAGGCGCGCTGCAGCACGATGGTTCGCACGACGTCTGCGGACAAAACACACCACGCACTGCCCGGTGAACACTCATAGCAATAAGTCAACCGATAGTCCCCTCGGGCTCGCTGCGAGATGCTGCACCGCTCCGCACGACTTTACACATCGCGCTACTTCTGCACTGCACAAAGAACGCCACACCGCTTGCGAAGAGCACGAGACGGCCGCGCTCGTATTTCAGCGTTGACAGCTTGCGGCGGTCACACCTCCTTGATGGCGGGCATGCTGCGTGTTGCGTGATCTCTCTCGGTAGCCCAGCGGGGCTGGTGTGACCCCGTGTTGGCCCCGTGACCCAGCGGGACTGTGCGACCCCATGTTGGTCATCACCGCCGCTCCAATACAGTGCCCCTGTGACGCGAACAAAATGGACGGCGCCGTAGAATGATTCGTTGTATGGCAGACCAGCACGCGTCAACGCACTATCCCACCAGCATAGTACCTACACTCAATGTTTATGCCATGGCCGTGCGTAAGTGTGTACAACTGTGCATTCGTGGCGCACACAAATTCATTACAAAAACACTGGACGGCGAAAGTACATTCTGGCACACACAAATAAACAGCAAAACAACAACAATAACCACAACAACAACACCACCACCACCACCACCAACAACAACAACAACCACAACACCAACAACACCAACAGCACCACCAACAACAGCAGCAGCAGCAACAACAACAACAATGTGCTGCAAAGACATTGCGATATGCCACGCCACATCACTCAATACTCCATTGACTTGCGATAGTCCCTTTCGTAACATTATGCGTGAGGTTGGAGCGCATCTCGCGGCACTGCAAGACATCACAATACACCACCACGCGCTGCTGTAAAACAGCTCGCGGGCATACCTCACATTGCAATGCTATTCCTCGGAACCGAATGTTGATTCAAGACGGATGTTCCGTCGGGTTCAATTACTCTGCGCTACAAAACCTACCACACTTCAACACCGTGCGTGGCTCCACAATCGTCACCGCGCCTTTCTACGCATATTAAATCTGCAATTCGCAACCTCATATCAATGTTCATGACACGGCAATGTACGCAGTGCTATATTCTGCACTGGTTTCCAACGGCCATACACTTGTCTGCAATATGACACACCTTGCCACGCTACCCTGGTTCTCGAATTGAAGCGTGATGCACTACTCCATGACCGCAACATGGCGGCCAACTGCACTACGATTGATGACCTGATGTGAATTACACTGCAGTGCATTGGTTCACTCTACAATATAGCACATGGCATTGCAATTAGTATCGTTCAAATTCATTGCACACTGATGCAACACATGGAGGTCCGCAGCGGCAAGCGACAGCCTGTGGCGCCACACTTGGATACACCCAAATACAACAAATAATGCCACACTGCACTCCTCTGTGCTACACTGCGCTGCGCACCCGTTACTGCCGCCACCATGCCGCAAACACTGAGTAGGGTGTCATCGAACTCCTCAGTCCGCAAGATCGTACTTCGGCTGCACACAAGGGTGACCCTACGCAAGAGTGACCATTAGTGCGCGGACTAGGGGGGCGCAAAGTGGCCAAATCCAAGCGCGCAAGAAGCCACCATCGCATCGAGTTCAGCGATCGGAAGGGCCCTGGTGCGCCCGCACCAAAGGTGACTCCGGAGAAGGGTCACCTCTACGCGCAGTCGGGTATTGTGTAAACGCTCTTCGGGGTCCCGACTTCCAAGATTCCCGAGCTCTCCCATGCAGGCGCTCTTGGGGTGCGCCGTGCCCGGCTTCCCCCGAGGCCTCGGGAGCACGGTTCGGAGCCCAAACCTCCAGCATGGCCCCAGGATGGTCCCGGAGGACCCGTCCTGGAGCTGCCTTGGGGAGTCGGTCGGAAGTCGGCGGCGAGCCCAAGAAGGAAGGCGGAGGGAGCGGACCGTCTCGAAAGTCCAGAAGGCTCCCGGCCTTCCGAGAGGCCTTCTAGCCCTTTTCTGGAGCCCCGCCACCTCCTGCAGAGGCCATCCTGCTTTCTATGGGGGGCGATGATCGAGCCTGGGGGAGGGGGGGGGGACACGTGGAACTCTCGTGCCACTTTTGGGCCCCAGGTATGCCCTCTCCGAGGCCCCGGAGCTGTACAAAAGTTGCACCTCTTTCCACCCCCCTCCCCCACTCATCGCCCCCCCCCTCCCCTGGGTCCGAGACGCCCAGCTCTCCCTTTGGCCTCCACCTCCCCTGGGCGCGCCCTGGACGGGCCAAGAGGGCCCAGAACGTCGTCCCAGGGCTGCCCACCAAGGCGCCCCCGGGAGGGGCCAAAGCAGCGCGGCGCCGCGGCCCGAACCCTGCAGGGTGCATGCGCAAGATTCCCACAGGCCCCCAGAGGAGTGCATCTCTTATTCGCGACCAGCACGGGCGTTCTGGGGGAGGAGGGGGGGGGGAGGACGAGGGGGGGAGGGGAGCATGACGTGACGCTCACCCCCCCTCCCCCCCAGACTGTGGTGCCGGACGGACGCACTGCGGCAGTGCCGGGAACGCACCGAGGGGGGGAGCGTCACGTGATGGGGGGGGAGGGGGGGCAGAGCAGGGGGCGTAACGCGCGTTATGGCCCAGAGGGTAAACAAAAACACTCTCGAGGCCGCCAAGAGGCCGCCAAGAGGCTCCCCCAAGGAGGCTCCAAAGAGGCTCCCAAGGCCCCCGACGAGTCTCCAAAGGGGCCCCCGGAGAGGCCTCCAAGTAGAGGCCTGCCCGAGGGGCCTCTAGTCCACGACCCAGGCACGGTGGAGGGGCGTGCCGAAGGCCGCTCGAGTAGGAGCTCGACCTCAGAAAGCCTTCCACATGAAACCCAACCTTGAGACCCCAGGACGTCCCTTGATTATTGGTGTGGCAACGTCACGCTTTCCATAGTAAAAGCATCGAAACCCGAGAAACCCAGGGCGCCCTGGAGGCGAGCAGGCTGTTTCTTGGCAAGGGTCTCCACTGCACTTGAAGGGGCCCAGGGGCACGCAAATCAATGGACACAGATCCCAGGACGCCCCATGTGTTTCCACATGTTCTGGATGCTCGCCTCCCCCCAACACATCCCATATGTTTCCATTCCTGGAAATCGACGATGATTTGTGCCTGTGGGTTCTTCCCCCTCCAAAGTGCAGAGCCTCTTCGGGAGAGCTCGGACGAAGTATCGCGCCCAAGACGGCTCGAAAGCGTCGCGGGTGCCTTCGGAGGCCCCGGATTCACACCGCATGACCACTGCAACACAACGAGACGTCAGGAAGTGTGTACCAATGCCGCAACGATCCAGGAACCAGATCGATGCAGCGCCAGAACAGTGATGGCTTGGGCTGTAGGCAGTTCGGTAGCACCCCTCGCGCGTCAGCGCATCACACGTAATCGCAAAGTGCTGCTACACCATCTCATACCACATCGCATCGGGCCATAGCACATCACATTGTACCACATGACAGCTCGTTGGCATCAGTCCGCCTTGCACCACATGGCACCCATCGCAGCGTTACAAGCCCAAGGTGATACACTGGCCGCGTCGACTGGAATTATAGCACACGTTGATGAACTATCCCTCGCGGCGCCACCAGCACTCCAGCGCGGTTCAAGCCCATCGCAGCCTGTCACTACAAGTTCTCCGCTGGCAAACAAAACCTTGCCTGACGACCGTCCACTGATGCGGTGGAGAAACGCTGACCTGCAGCTCTACGCATCCCTTAGTAAAGAGCCGAGGGGCTGCTCTGTGGTCTGGAGGCCAGCTTTGGGTGCTCCCTCTGGCGCGGGGATGGCTCCTGGGTGCGTCTTGGCGGGTCCGGGGGACAGCCCGTCGCCCAAGCCGAGGCTGCTCAATCCGAGGCGGGGCGTGAGCTGGGATTCGCCTTAGGGCGACCATCCGCCACAGGTCCCTTGAGAATCCTGGGAGCCCCTGGCGGCCCGACTGGTTCTCAGACGTCTCCCACCTGCGCCGCCAGAACCGGGCCAGGATCGGCCCCAGCATCGGGCGGCGCTGGACGTGTGCCTTTCCCGAAGTGCCCCCTGGGATCTCCAGCGAGAGGCCCCAGGCTGGGGGCACCTCGGGGCACCTCGGACCAGGGACTCCTCTGGCATGGCCATCGCCGGCAGGCTGCCTCGACATCCCCCCCCCCCCCCGCGGGCCAGACGACGGCCCCGCCGCCCCCAGGCGGCCCCCGGGGCCGCCCCCCGTGAGGCCAGAGGGGGCCTCAGGAGTGCCTCCCCCCCTACACCTTGCGAAATGCTTTAGAAATCATGGGTTAAGAAATTCATAGTCTCAGAACTTGAATAAAAACCAAACATTTCTATTAAAATCATAAGATTTACATTGAAACGTTAAGAATAATCGAGACTCTGGCCGAACATTTAAGTTTTCTTAAGCATCGCCTAAGGTGTATCCCGCCGGAGGGCGGGCCCCTGGCGACGGGCGGCCCGGCCCCTGCGAGGCTCGTGGGGGGCACGGCGAGAGAACCCGCGCAGCGGCACTGCCGCGCCCCGCGGTGCAGCGCTGCTCTCTCTCGCCCTCGCGCCGCCATCGTCGCGCCCTCGCGCGCCCGCGGGGCGCGGCCGCTCCCTCGCGCTCTCGCGCCGCCACCTTCGCGCCCTCGCGCTCCCCGCGAGGCGCGGCCGTGCCTTCGCGCCCTCGCGCTCTCTCGCGCACCCCCACTGGAGAAGGGCGGCCGCTCTGGCCCTCGGGCCCAGGCCGGCCGGCGCGCGAGGCGCGAGTGATCTCTCCGCGTCCCCGCGGTCGACCGATGGGCTGCCGCTGGGCCCCAGGCCCCTCCTCCCCGCGCGGTCAGCGGCGACGGGCAGCACCGCAGCCGAGCCACAGCGCGGCGGCAGCGGACAAAACACTGCAGTCAACCCGCATCACAAGGACGCGCGAGAAGGACGCGAGGGCCTTGGAGGCCCATTTCGAAGCTCTTCGAGCGGGGCGCGGCCAGCGAGAGTGGCCAAGGATGGAGCGAGGAGGCAAGGACGCAAGGGCACCCTTGGGAAGGTTGCCCGTCCTTACTATTCGGGCTGACTGTATACACTCTAGGCGATGCTTAAGAAAACCCAAGTTTTCGGCCAGAGTCTCGATTATTCTTAATGTTTCAATGTAAATCCCAAGATTTGAATAGACAATCTGGGTTTTTATTCAAATTCTGAGACTGTGAATTTCTTAACCCATGATTTCTAAAGCATTTCGCAGGGTGTATGCACTGCCACTGGAACAGGGTGTATGCACTGCCAAGGAACTGCACGGGCGCCTCCAGAGATCCGCGCAGAGCTCCTGGAGCCGCGCTCGGCCCTCCTGCCTGGCCCCTGGCGCGCGGTGCGCGCCAGGGGGCAGCGCCAGCGGCGGCGCCAGGGGGTAGGGAGCCCACAAAGGACGTACGCGCCCAGCTATGTACATGAACACGGCCCCTCGATTCGCGAGACCCGCCGCGTTATACGAACATTTGTGCAATGCGTACTCTCGAAACCAGCGTGGATTCATGTACATGTACGTCCTTCTTTCGCTCCTGAGGGGGGGGGCTCAGCGCCGATCCAAGAAAATTCGACCGGAGCACTCAAGCCTTCTGGTTCTGCAACTGTTTCTTCCTCTTCGACCCGTGTCACGACAGGCAGAGGACCCCACACGACATCCCACGCGCGTCGGCACCGAGCTTCCCGGCAGCGAAGCTCCTGCGGCTCGGACACGGGGCCGCCGTTGAGCAGGAAGCAGAACTCTGGCGGGACTCCCTGAATCTGGTCCTCCGCGATCATCCCGCGCAGATCGAACAGCGTGATGCTTGAATCCAGCGCGACCTGGGCTCGAGCCCCTCCTGCCCCTCTGGCAAGCCCCAGGGGGGGGCCCGGGAGCAGCGAAGCGGACCTCTCGGCCAGGCGGAGCAAACGAACACCTCTGCTGTCTCACCTCCGCCACGAGTCTCTGCCCGACCGTCCCGCCCCCCCTCCCCGCCGACCCTTGAGCAGGGACCGCCCGCCCTGCATTCCGATAGGCCTACCACGAAATGATCTCAGAACCGAATAATGTGCGAAAGCCGTACTCAATGTTCTTAGAACGCAAGCCCACTGCATTAACACAAGACAGTGTCGGCCAGAAATGTTCTAAGAACAGTTCGTGCAAGCCACAGGAGGTTCTTAGAACATTCTTGGGTGGGCCTATAGGCAGGCCAGGACGCTTCGCCACTGACTGCTTGAGACCCGGAGCAAAAATCCGAACCAGTCACGGCAGAAACTCTCGGCACAATCTTCGAACAACGTGATGCCTCGAGCAAGATAGATCCGTGATGGTTCCGTGGCCTGGTGCTGGGGCGAGAAAGCACAACGCGCTCGGGTCCCGACTCCCGACGCCAACGCTCTCCCAACGAAAATCCATTCAAAACCCCTCCCTGGACACCTCCCCATCTTGACGGCGCGCACAAGGGGTTATGGGGGAGGGAGGGGTTATGGGGGAGGGGGGGAGGCTTCTTATGAGGAGGCAGCTTCTCAGAATGCGCGGGCCTTACATCTACAGGACAAGGCCCGCGCCTCCTGAGAAGCAGCCTCCCTCTAAAAAGCCATTCCCCCTCCCCCATGCAGTCGGGACTGCGGAAACAAGTAGCGCTATAGGAGGAAAGGAGCCCCTTCCTAGCCCCAACAGCGCCTGGGTGCAGGAGGAGGGCGAGAGGAACAGCCACGGAAGGGCCCCAGGAGCCTCGAGCCCCTGCCGCACCCCAAGCGGTCCTTCTGTCAGCGTCTTCGCTGTACCTCCCTCTGCTCGTGGCCAGCCATCACCGCCCTCCTCCCAGACCCCCGACGCCATGACTTGTTCAGGACGTCGACCCCGAAGGCCTCGAGCCATTCCCCGGGACCAGTCCTTCATCCTGAGTCGTGTTTTGTGGACGGTCCAGAGGCCCGGAACATTTCCCCGTCGTGATTTTTGTGAAGGGGCCCCAGGACACACAAATAAATACACACAAATAAAAATAGTCCCATAGTTTCCCATATTTTCTGGGTTTCTGTCTCCCCCCCCGCTTCACATATTTTCCCGTATTTTCTGTGGAATCGAGAATTGATTGTGTCTGTGTGTTTTTTTCCCTCCTGACAGAGGCCCGGAACATTTCCCCGTCGTGATGTTTGTTCATGGCTCGAGGGGGTCTGGGATCCATCTGCCGAGCCGCGCCCAGCCGCGGCGACGGACAGCACGAAAAAGCCGCGCCCGGCCGCGGCGACGGAGGCCCCGGCAAACGCGGAGGGTGCGGAGGTGGGCACGAAGCACAGAGCGGGGTCCCGTTGAAGACGCGCCCTGAGCCCGAGGGCCTTTTCCCTGGGGCCGGAGCATCCAACCAGACCCGTACTCTCACCGCGACTCCGGTTCTCAGATTCGCCTTTGGCGGCGCGCACAAGGGGGCAATTTGGGGGAGGGCCTCTTAGAAGGAGGCTGCTTCTCAAAGGCGCTGGCCTCACATCTTGAGACAAGGCCCGCACCTTCTAAGAAGCAGGGGTGCTTCTAAGAAGCCTTTCCCCCCTTCCTACCCCCCTCTGCGCGTGGCCGACCTTACCTGGGGCCAGATCCTCCTGACGCGTACTCTCACCGCGACCTCCGATTCTCAGATTCGCACTCCGCGCCTCAGAACCGGGTTTAACTCGAAATGCGTTCAAAAGTAAACTTACATTACGGCGACAGCCGGTACGCCCCAGATTCTGGTGCCGGTGCATTCCAGATTCATAAGCTTAGGAATCTGGGGCGCAGCGAGCGTAAGGGAAGTGGTTCCTTGCCCAGGGGATGATGAACTTCAGCCTTGTGAGAGAGCTCGCTTCAGTCGATCCGCTGGTCTGGTCTGCGCGCGAACGGTCTGCAATGGGCAATCGCACGACAGGGTCACGCCTAATTACTTGCCATCGCGTGCACCCTCCAGGAGGCACGCCGAACGATACAAGGCAGCCTCAGGACGTCCTCCTCCTCCTCCTCCTCCTCCTCCTCCTCCGCCTCCTCGACAGCCTCGAGAGAGAGAGAGAGATAGACGGGCCCCAACATCGGGGCCGGCCCGTGGGGGAGCTGACAAGACACCGCTGCTGCTGCTCGAGTACCCTGTGCCTCTTCCGCGGTGCGCTCTGACATTTTAGGAGGCAACTACTGTGAGGTTTTCGTCGGAAGGATTAAAGAGGATTAAGCCCCATTGGGGGGCTCTTACGCCAGAGTGGGCCTCGGATCAAACGGGATTAAGCCAGATTAAGCGGGATTAAGCGGGATTAAGCCAGATTAAGCGGGATTAAGCGGGATTAAGCCGGACCAGGCGGGATTCCGGACCAGGGCTAAATCAGAATTTGACCTCCCAGGAGTTGCATCCGAAGACATGGACTTCGAGGCGCAATCAGCCGCGGGGTGGGCATCGGTATCGGTATCTCTTCCCCCTGCAATCCGACGCCGCGAAGAAATCAGAACATCTCATCCCCAAATCACGACCAGAACCCTGGACCCCATCCTCCCGCGCCCTTCTTCGATGCGGGTCGATCCGTGAGGGCCCCGAGGCACGAAACATTCTGCACGAAACTGCCTGGCTCCACAGCACCCAGGCGCCAGGATCTCAGGGCCGGAGCCCGAGGACGGCTAGAGAACTGGAGACCTCCCAGACGGGGTTGGAGCAGGAGGGGTCGGAGAATCGCGCCGCATCGACGATGCACCGGCGATGTATCGTCGACGTGGGCGATGCATCGGCAACGTCGACGTGCAGCGAGTCGGGCTCCACATCGAGCCGCACCGCCGATGCATCGGCGATGCGGCGCGATCCTCCGACCCCACCTCCTCCGACCCCACCTGGGAGGCCCAGACGAACACTCGTGAAGGGGCCCCAGGACACACGAATAAATACACACAAATAAAAAGATTCACCATATTTTCCCATATTTTCTGTGTTTTTTGTCTTCCCCCTCCCCCCCTTCCCATATTTTCCCATATTTTCTGGGGGATCGTCGATTCATTGTGTCTGTGTGCTTTTTTCCCTCCTGAACTCGGGCCTCCACGCTCCCCAGCACGCGGCCGTCCAGGAGGATGCGCAGCAGCCGGCAGCCGCCGCCGCCGCTGAGGGCCCGGTCGACGGCGTCCGCGGCTGCAGCGGTTGGCTCCGCCCCGTCGCCCTCTTTGATCGGGTCGGGCGAAAGGGGGGGATAGCAAAGGGGGGGTTTGAGAATCAGCTCGCGTAGCTGATTTTCCCGGCGCCTCCCGGCGCCGGGAGGCGGCTATGTCTCGAGGAATGGGCCCCTCGGTGGGGCCGAAACCAGCTGCATGCAGCAAATTTCGTAACCCCCCCTTTCCCAATCCCCCCCCTTTCGCCCGACCCGATTTGAGCAGGGGCCGACCGTCTTGGCAGTCTTGCCGGCCTACCACGACACGAACTCAGAACTCGCTGCACGAAATTCTCCTCGAAGCAAGCCGTGTTCTCAGGACGAGGCAAAACAGAAACCGCGTTCGCCAACCAAGCAAGCACTCGAGCCCGACGTGTTGAAACAAAACCGTCTCGGCCGGAAACGTTCGAAGAGCATTTCGTGCAAACAACAAAAGGTTCTTAGAACATTGTCTGGTGGTTCTATATAGGGAGCCCACAAAAGACGTACGCGCCCAACTATGTACATGAGCACGGCCCCCTCGATCCGCGAGACCGGCCGCGTGATACCAGCATTCGCGCACTGCGTACTCTCGAAACCAGCGTGGATTCATGTACGTGTACGTCCTTCCCCAGACCCCCGACGTCGTGATTTTTTCGCAACGTCGACCCCCAGAGGTCTGGACCCCCTCCCCCAGAGGTCTGGACCCCTTCCCCGGGACCGGTTTTTCGTCCTGATTTTTGTTGACGGCCCCGAGGCCCAGCGAAGCCCCCAGAGGCCGAAAACGGCCAAAAACCTCCCGCCGTTATTTTTGTTTCACAGCGCGAGGAGGTCTGGGTCCTCCGATCCCGACGATAGGCGAGCCACGACGCTTCGCCACTGCTCAACCGCCGCCGAGGCGAGCGGCCAGGGGGCCTCGGCCGCGCGCCGGCCGGAGGACTGCGGCGTCGAGGGCGCGGTGCTGGAGAGGGCGCCGCCGAGCCTCGGCCCCGCGGGGGGGGGGGGGCGGGCCGCCGCCGGGCGCAGGCCCCGCCAAGCCGAGCCCTTGAGGGGGAGCCGCCTCCGCCTCCGCCTCCGCCTCCGCCTCCTTCTCCTCCTTCCTCCTCCTCCTCTCCTCCTCTCCTCCTCTCCTCCTCTCTCCCTCCCCCTCCTCCTCCCCCCCTCCTCCTCCTCCCTCCTCCCTCCTCCTCCTCCTCCTCCTCCTCCTCCTCCTCCTCTCCTCCTCCTCCTCCTCCGCCGCCGGGGGGAGGCCGACCGCGGCCGCCGACGTCCCACACCCCCTCGCATCGTGAAAAAACACATCAGTAAGTGTTTGCTACGTTCAGCCTCTGGGGGTCCTCAGCGGGCGACCGGGACCGTCAAAAAACGACTCGGGACGAAACACCGGTCCCGGGGAAGGGATCCACACATCTGGGGGCCGACGTTGTGAAAAAAACACGACGTCGGGGGTCCGGGGTGGCCGCAGGTGCAAGTTCCACCATCCCTCTGGGGCGTGGGTGGTTCACTGCGTGCAGTCAATATCACGAGGACGCACGACAAGGAGCCAAGGGTTAGGTCGGGCATGTCCTCCTACAGGGGGATTTTGGACGAAAAATGAATAATACTTAAAACAATACTCGAAAATGGTGAAACAATAATGGAAAAATCGCTCCCAGGCTATTCTTTGACTATTCCTGACTATTCTGCCTGTAGAGGGACAGGCCCGACTTAAGCCAAGGGCCTGGGAGGGCCATGTCGACGCTCTGCGAGCGGGGCGCGACCAGCGAGAGCGGCCAAGGGTGGGCCTAACGGGAAGGGTGCAAAGATATCCTTGCGAAGGTTTCCCATCCTTGACTGTATCCTCCTCCCCCTTCTTCGCCCATTGGGAAGGGGATTCATCACTGCTCCAGATGAGGAAACGCTCCCTGCCCCACCCGACTGGCAGCCAACCCAGCCCCATGCAGCCCAGCCCCCGCACACCACCCCTGTCCACGAATAATACAACATGCGCTGTTCCTCCTCATCTGGAGCATGCACTGGCGACTCGCGACCACTCCGAATAGTTTTAGACAAGGACGGCAGGGGAGGGGTATATTGCTGTCTGCGCGCAAGCCAACCATCCGTCAAAACAATACAACATACAGTCTGCCTCGAAATCTGGAGCATGCGCGGGCACCCAACGACCACTTTGCGTTGGACGCTGATAGGGATCAAGGGGGGGCCGGCATATTGCTTGCTGCGCGTAGACCGACCATTCCCATCGACAAACAATAATCCGTGCTCTGTGCGACGACATATGGATCATGTGCAGGCACCCCGCGATCGCTCTTGTTGCTGACGACATCCCATTTGTACTTTTCCAAGGGGCGCTCGTTTCTCTGAGCGTTCGTGTGTCACACGGCTTCTCAAGAAGTCACATTCTGTCCATTGGTGCCGGTGCGTTGCGCTCCCTGGAGGAGCCGCCATTATCACATAATGGTCAGCACTTCGTTTCAAGGGGTCCGATATCATGAAATCGTTGGGGTCGGGGCCCCAGGCATCTGTGGTCTGTATTGGTTCCCCGTAGCTGTCCATCCGATGACGGCAGTGCAGTGGCGCACCTGGCACACTCTCCGCGCGCCGCGCGCGTGGCGCACCTTGCGCGGCTGGATCACGTGGCACACCTGGCGCACGCGGAGCACCAGGCGCACCTGGCGCGCCTGGCACGCTTGGGCCTCCAGGGCGCCTGGTGCACCTTGAACCCGCGGCGCAACATGGCATGCGAGGCGTCTAGGCGACATGCTGAGACTCGGGTGCTACCCATGTGTTGGAAGGGCGGGTGGGAGTGAGCCAAACAGTCTGCGTCTGGGAGAAGTATCTTGACCCTCCCCTCCTGGGTCTGGACGGGGCGCCTTGCGAGGCGCTAGAGCGTCCAAGGAGGCACCTGCGAGAAAGCAAACAAACAGTAATCCCACCAGCCCTTTGGGCGTGAGTGGTTTAGAGAGCCCGCTCTGTTCTCAACCCCCTTCTTCCCCTTCGGGGAGGGGTTTACCCCTCCCCCTACCCCCTCCCCCTGGGCCTGGAGAGGGCGCCCCGCGGGTGGTTGGAGGGGTCTTTGTCGACTCTTGGGAGGGCTAAAATTCGACACCCCTCACGAGGATCGTGGCCCCGACGAGGGGAGGCAGAAAAATGCTCCCCTCTTCTTTGAAGCCAAACTCATTGATTTGACTAAGGTTTTGGCCCCATTTTGGCCTTCTGAGGGGGCAGCGCTAATTAAAGCTCCCATCTTTTTTCAAGCCAGAATCACTGATTTTACTAAGGTTTTGGCTTCATTTTGGCCTTCTGAAGGGGCATCGCTAATTAAAGCTCCCCTCTTCTTGGATCGATTTCCTCCAAGATGGCCCCAAGAAGCGCCCAGGAGGCACCAACAGGCCCCAAGATGGCCCCAAGAGGCCCCCAGGAGGCCCCCAAGAGGATCCCAAACGGCCCAAAGAGGCCCCCCCGAGGCACCCAAGACGCCGAAA